ACTGGGTTTTTTTTTCTGGACAGTACTTTATTCAATATGATTTCAAAGGAACTTGATCTGCCCTTGGTTCATTTCAGTAATAAATGTGAAAGAAAAATTCTTGATAGACTGGGAAGGAAAACAGCGAAAACAATAAAGTTTTTTGTTCATCTTCAGGGACACTTTATTATTTCTCAATCATTCAGCAGTATTTAAAATCCATGCAATTTTACTTTTATTTATCTAGCTACTACTATTTTATCTTGCTTCTAATATGCTCCATTGCAAAGGCTCAATCCAGATGATATCACTTCAGAATTGAATTATGTTTCTTTAGGAATATCTGTTTGAAGCTTTAATATTTTAGGCTTCAAGTTAACTCTGTTTTATTATCTGAAGTCTGAAGTGGTTGGTTTGTTTTTTTTGCTATTCTATCACAGCTTTACTTTTAGCATGCCTTTTACAGCTTGGTCTTGGCAGTGTGTTTTCATTGTTAATTTGATGTTATTATTGGAGCTCTTATGTGTTGACAATTGAATGTGCAACCCTTGGGGGAATTCAGGACAACATGTGAGTTTTCTGGAAGCGAAAGGGGAGATTTAGCAGCCCAAAGGAGATATAGACAAAGCAGAACGTGACCGTGCCCATTTTTTCTACTTTTATGATTTTTCGGCCATAATCCACTCTCTCCCATCGCATCCAGTCTCTACTTTGCTACATTCATTGCAGCCAACCAAAAGTTAGCAGTTATGGGGATGCAGTAGAGTTGTACAATCCAAAGTTAGCAGTAACACAAGGAGAAGAGTTGTCCAAAAAAATCCATGCATTCAACAGCTGATAATGACCTGTGAATAACAGTTGGATCACTCTTATTTTATAGCTCTGTGGTGCCAAGTGAATGAATCAAAAGTAATGGGAAACCAATAATGGATTAACAATTTTAATATGATAAATCAGATTATGTGTTAAATTAATACCTATTTAAGAAGGAAAAGATACTCTCACTTTGTGCTTAACTCCCGGTGCCTATATGGACATATTTCTAAAGTTTTCTTGACAATAATATGGAAAAAGATTTCTTAATCATCTTCCATCCAAGAACTAGGCTTAGTTTTTCTGAAAACAACCAGGTTTAGCTGAGTAATGCGATTGACCAGGAAATATCTCTCCTCTCCTCCTCAATGTGTTGTATTTTGCAAAGAACAATGTAAAAGACAGAGATAAAATAAGCCTGGGAGCAGAGAAGATCTGGAGGCACTGTTTCAATAATACCACAAATGTAAGGTTTGCTTGCTACTTGGAAGTAGAATGTATGTGATCATATATGGCATTAGAAAAGACTAAATAAGCTCAACCCTTTCAATATGGAAGTTTCTCTGTCTTTCACTTGTCTTCAAAAGAATTCAGAACAGTACATATAGAACAGATGGTGGTAATCTCCTGTCTTGGTAGTTTATAAATTTACACTTGTCCACTCTCCTAAGATTATATGGAGCACACTTCCTGTCTCTAGTCCCAAATGGATGATTGTAAGTTCCCTGACCTTTTGAAATGACAATTCATGTGGAGTTTTATAGCTGCATTTATTTTATGAGTGAGCAATTTGGAAGGAAAGGTACTTACTTTCTGATAAGATGCTGCAAAATTTTAATGGAAGATCATTCCAGATATTACAATATGTGATGATTTGGCTACATGTGTATGTTTCAGTTTGGCTCACTTTATTCTATTGTGCTATAGCAAAGGAAGTAGTTGTTTTTTTAAAAAATAGCTATTAAAACCTTGATCTTGGGAACGATGTTTTTTTTCCTATTCTTATTAAATTTGTGTTTGAATGATTACCTGCAGTAGTTATATGTTACATAGGCTTCAGCCATAGGATTGATTTGTTCTATAGCACTTATGTCTCAGTGGTGGGATTCAATTTTTTTACTACCCATTCTGTGGGTGTGGCTTGGTAGGTGTGGCAAGGGAAGGATATTGTAAAATCTCCAGTCAGAGGTGTGTTTGCCGGTTCTCCGAACTACTCAAAATTTCCGCTACCGGTTCTCCAGAACTGGTCAGAACCTGCTGAATACCACCTCTGCTATGTCTGCTACTTATTGCATTAATAAATAACATGAGATCTAAGTAGGAATTTAATGTAACTTAATATTGATAAAAGTCAAGCTCAGTGTTGATGTCTTCATGATCCATGATTACTGAAGCAGTTTTTACTGCTTTCTTCCATGAATCTGTGAGGTTCTGATATTGTTGACCTTCAATTCCCAACATTCCTTTAGGAAGCATGATTTATTGTGATATGTGCTATATGTTGTGGTTCCGTAACATCTGGAGGACCAGTTTGTTTACAGTGTACTTATAATTTAATTTGAAAAAATACCAAGAAGCCCTTTTCTAGCATTTAGGTATTGCTTTGTTATAACTTTTGTAAGAGCAAGTTTGGTCTAGTGGATAAGACATCAAGCCAGAAAGCAGAAGACCATGAGCTCATGCCCCTCTTAGCCATGAAAGCCAACTGGGTGACTCTAGGGTAGTCACTCTCTCTCAGCCTAACCCAGCTCACAGTGTTGTTGTTGTGGAAAAAATTGGAGGGGAAAGTACTAGGTATTTTCACCATCTTGAGTTTAAAAATAATAAAGGCAGGATAGAAGTAATAAAATAAAATAAAAGCCAAATATTAATTATTTTAATGTTTTAGTAATCCACCTAATCAGAAACTAGAATGTAAAGAGACAGCATTCAAAAAAGTAGGGATGATGCCAGGACAAAAGCTAAATTTTATTTTATTGATATTTAAATTAATTTTAATTTACATTTAGTATAATTGTTCTGCCAACCCATATTTATGAATTTTCTTTTTCTGTTACATCCAAAATTAAAACATGGTAACTATTTTTGGAAGTCTTGTCTTTTCCCATGGCTGATCTTCCCCCGGGGAATCAAATTGAGAACAAGACGAACTTTAAGCTAGCTATTCTCCATCATGTTTCATTCTTTTTTTATTAGAATACATGACAGATGTTAAAAATGTTTTCACCATTGCAAAATCTGGAATTTCTATTTGTTTTGAGTTTATTAATATAAAAACATTTGAACTGTATTACTTATATCATCTGGAAGTATAATGCTGCAGAAGAAGAAAAAATGAGATTTTAGCAGTGATCACTTTTTACCACAGTCTATTTTTGAAAATGTAAGGAAGATGTGGAGATTTCTTTTTACATTTGTTCACCATAACAAAACATATATAGAGCACAATATGACTTATCTGGACAACATTGATGCATGGGCTAAAGACATTTTTATAAAAACTTTATGACATTTGGAGAAATCAGTGCTTTACTCTCCCCACACTCCACCCCATATAGGGTAAAATGCCTACACTTGTAAACATAATGAAGCTTACATTTATTGAAATGGCACCACTTTTCACATTCAAATTATATACAATATAGTTTTGCATTCAGATGGAGAAAAGGTAGTGAGACAAACCCCAGTAAATTCAATTCTCTTTACATCTTTTTAAAAACACCATGAATTAATACTGCCTGAAAAATCACTGGGAATGCCAAGTTGATAAAGTTCTTGAAAATGAACAGGTCAAGATCCTGTGGAACTTTTGGATCCAAACAGACAGACATCTAGCCCACAACATGCCTGACATCACTATTGTGGAAAAGAAAAAAAATCTGGTTCACTGATATTGCAACACCAAATGACGCACAAATTGTAGAGAAACAACTAGAAAAAATGAAATATTGTGATTTGCAAATTGAAGTTGAGTTATTGTGGAGGAAGAAATCAATGGTTGTACCAATAGTAATAGGAGTCTTTAGAGCAATACCCACGAGACTGCCTAGATACATGGAAATTTTGAACTTATTAGATCTGAATATATTGACTTTGCAAAAAAACCATCCTACTCGGAACTGCCTATATAATCTTAAACCTTAACAGCTCTTAGGTCCTTGGCTAGGACTTGAACTGTTTTTATCAGTCCCAGACTGTGAATCAAATTGAACACTAAGTAACAGTAATAATGCTCTTCCACTTAGTTATGTGGCTCTAAACACGTTTCTTTTGAAGAAAAGGTGCTTTTCCTTCAGCAAACTGGCTTACTTTTCTTTAATACAGAAAGCAAAGAACCATGAATGTATGTTCTTATGCTTGAATGTGGACAAATGGAGATTCTATTATTTTATTAATAGAAACTGAGAGACTCTGTAAACATCTAAAATATTAGCCCAAGGGAGAGGAATTCATGCTGTACATGTTTATCTGCTACCTGAATGCAAGGGCATGGCCTTGTTCCACCTTGGCCTTTAGAGTTCTTCAGTTTGTCCTGAAGCTCCACCTGAGCTTCCACTTTAAAAAAGAGAACTTAAATACCAGTGGTGTACTAGAAGTGGGGAAGATAAGAAGAAAGGTTCAGAAGGGAATAAAAAGCTGGGTTTGCACTGAACCCAGTGCTTGTTTTTTGTACATCACAGAAAACCCAGTAAGGGATAGGCTCATTCCAGCAATAAATAGAAGTCCAAAGCTTCATATATCAAAAATAGCTTCTCTAAAATTATTTTCGTTCATTAAGCCTCCTGCCTTTGTTTGGCTTAAAACAGGGCTTCCCAACCTTGGCCCCTTGAAGTTGTATGGACTTCAGCCTCCAGAATTTCCAGCCAGTCATGCTGGCTAGGGAATTCTGGGAGTTGAAGTCCACACATCTTCAAGAGGGCCAAAGTTGGGAAATACTACGCTAGACTCTATCAACAGGTGTCCTCCAAAGATTTTTTGATTCTAAATCTCAGAATTCCTGGTTGTGTGGGAATGGCAGATGTTACAGTCCCTTCACATCTCCAAAGCATCAGTCTAGAAAATGTGATCCCCAACATGTGAATAAAAATGGACCAGCATGTTATAATACGAAATCATAAACACAAAATGCAGGCATGGACAGCCCTTTAAGTCTGCATGATTATTTTTTCTTGCACACTGCCTTATTCATGGTCCATTTCTTTATGTACATACCAGTCTGTACATTTGTTGCTGACTACATACAAATAAGCAGCAATGGTTAGTTAGCTCTTGCAGTGACTATTAATTTCATGCATACTGTGCATTTTCTTCATGGCAGTTGTGGTTGCCATTAATAAAGCTGAAGGTGATCATGGACTGCTGATTGGTGCTCTTGAAAGATGTCATCCTAGTAGTACTTCTGGCTGTACTCTGGGATCGAATGAGAAGACGGGTTTTATAACAAGATAACTGGTGATTAAACTGTTTCCGAAAAGTTTTGCTGAGCAAGTACAAGGCAAAAGGGTTTATGCAAGAGTTAATAAATGCCAATATTCGAGCACAAAGAGAAGTGATGAAGTGCAGGACAGATGTATCCACTTCTGAATAATGGTATGACCGATATAAGTAGATGATATGGTTAGGGAGCCAACAGAAAGCAAAGATGCAGACAAAAACTAGCACTGTCTTGGCGAGGCGTTTCCGAGATTCCATCTGAAAAGAAAAAGAGATATTACATCAACAATACCAAACATAAGATGGAACTCTACGTTTAGTTTTAGCTATCTAGACAATAATACAGGGATACTCACGCTGACTTCCAGTTCTTTTGAGTCATTTTATTTATTTTCTTAAAGAATGGCTTTTGGTCATTCTAAATATTATTCATGCTCTGAATCTCTAATTACATCCATTTGAAGTCCCATCCATCCAAGTACTGATGTTTTATAGGAATATGGCTTTTATCTCCATTGTATTTAAGACCACACTGTACTACATAATCTGACCCAGGCTACTTTTTGAAATTAGTGCTCCATGTTTATGCTTGCTAGTTGATACTCAGCATGAGAAGCAGCCATGTTTTCTGCATTAAATCTCATATGCTACAAGACTAGATATTGACCCTCATATCAGTCACTTATTGGTTGCTACTATACAGTATACAAGCTTTACTGCAAGGGGCAGGATAAGTATAGTTCAGCATGTGTAGTGATGGTAGTCTTTGTCTTGACCTGATACAAACTAGGCATTACATCAAATCATAATATAATTTAGTATTTTTTCCACCTATGTTTGGAGGTTCTTGTATGGTGGCAGCTTACCTGGTCAGTATGCTCCTAGGTGTGCTTCCATAATGAAAAGAATCACAGAATTTGTGAAAAAAACATCATAGTCATTTACAACTTGTAAGTCCTTGCTAGTTGTTTCCCATATACAGTATGCTTTCCTGAAGTCAAGCATTCGAAATTATTTTTACATATGGTTTTTATGATATTTATAGGCACCATGAGCAATTACTGCGACAAGTGATTATATCCTTGCCCTCTATCTCTATCTATCTATCTATCTATCTATCTATCTATCTATCTATCTATCTATCTATCTATCTATCTATCTATCTATCTATCT